ATAATACCACCAAATTCTAACAGACACTGACACTAATACCAACAAACAATAAAACCAACAAACACTGGCAACCAAGAATGCCACCAAACTCTAACACACTTTGACACTAACACCAACAAACAATAAAACCCACAAACACCGGCGACCAATAATACCACCAAATTCTGACAGACACTGACACTAACACCAACAAAGTAACACCAACAAACTCTAACAGACACTGACACTAACCCACAACAAACACCAACACCAACAACCAGTAACACCCACAAACTGTAACAGACACTGACACTAACACCAACATACACCAACACCAACAACCAGTAACACCCACAAACTGTAACAGACACTGACACTAACCCCAACATACACCAACAACCAGTAACACCCACAAACTGTAACAGACACTGACACTAACGCCAACAAACACCAACACCAACAACCAGTAACACCCACAAACTGTAACAGACACTGACACTAACACCAACATACACCAACACCAACAACCAGTAACACCCACAAACTGTAACAGACACTGACACTAACACCAACATACACCAACAACCAGTAACACCTACAAACTGTAACAGACACTGACACTAAGGTCAACAAACACCAACACTAATAACCAGTAACACCCACAACCTGTAACAGACACTGACATGAACACCAACAAACACCAACAACCAGTAACACCCACAAACTGTAACAGACACTGACACTAACCCCAACAAACACCAACACTAACAACCAGTATCACCCACAACCTGTAACAGACACTGACACTAACCCCAACAAACACCAACACTAATAACCAGTAACACCCACAAACTGTAACAGACACTGACACTAACCCCAACAAACACCAACACCAACAACCAGTAACACCCACAAACTGTAACAGACACTGACACTAACCCCAACAAACACCAACACTAACAACCAGTAACACCCACAAACTGTAACAGACACTGACACTAACACCAACAAACACCAACACTAATAACCAGTAACACCCACAAACTGTAACAGACACTGACACTAACCCCAACAAACACCAACAACCAGTAACACCCACAAACTGTAACAGACACTGACACTAACCCCAACAAACACCAACACTAACAACGAGTAACACCCACAAACTGTAACAGACACTGACACTAACACCAACACCAACACTAACAACCAGTAACACCCACAAACTGTAACAGACACTGACACTAACCCAAACAAACACCAACACTAACAACCAGTAACACCCACAAACTGTAACAGACACTGACACTAACCCCAACAAACACCAACACTAATAACCAGTAACACCCACAAACTGTAACACTGACACTAACCCCAACAAACACCAACACTAACAACCAGTAACACCCACAAACTGCAACAGACACTGACACTAACCCCAACAAACACCAGCACTAACAACCAGTAACACCCACAAACTGTAACAGACACTGACACTAACCCCAACAAACACCAACACTAACAACCAGTAACACCCACAAACTGTAACAGACACTGACACTAAGACCAACATACACCAACACCAACAACCAGTAACACCCACAAACTGTAACAGACACTGACACTAACCCCAACAAACACCAACACTAACAACCAGTAACACCCACAAACTGTAACAGACACTGACACTAACCCCAACAAACACCAACACCAACAACCAGTAACACCCACAAACTGTAACAGACACTGACACTAACGCCAACAAACACCAACACTAACAACCAGTAACACCCACAAACTGTAACAGACACTGACACTAACACCAACAAACACCAACACTAATAACCAGTAACACCCACAAACTGTAACAGACACTGACACTAAGGTCAACAAACACCAACACTAATAACCAGTAACACCCACAACCTGTAACAGACACTGACACTAACCCCAACAAACACCAACACTAACAACCAGTAACACCCACAACCTGTAACAGACACTGACACTAACCCCAACAAACACCAACACTAACAACCAGTAACACCCACAAACTGTAACAGACACTGACACTAACCCCAACAAACACCAACACCAACAACCAGCAACACCCACAAACTGTAACAGACACTGACACTAACCCCAACAAACACCAACACCAACAACCAGCAACACCCACAAACTGTAACAGACACTGACACTAACACCAACAAACACCAACACCAACAACCAGTAACACCCACAAACTGTAACAGACACTGACACTAACGCCAACAAACACCAACACTAATAACCAGTAACACTCTTTTCTCTCTTCTCTTTGCTCGGCCTTCCCTTTGATTATTCAGCTTGTCCTTTGATATTTTCCTCAATGGGATGTTTGCTCCTCTCTGATCTTGTTGTTGTTTATCTTGTTGTGGTTCATCTTTTTGTTGTTGTTTATCTTGTTGCTATTTGTTTTGTCCAGCTGATGTTTGGGCGCTTCGGGCAGGTGGTAGAGAAAAAAAAATCCATCACCTTGCAGGATGTTAGCCAGGTGAGAAACACACACACACACAAACACACACAAACACACACACACAAACACACACACTCACACACACACACACACACGTGTTGTGTCCAGCTGCTGTCTGTGTTTTAATAGAGGACAGCATGTGTTTACTCTTCCAGCTGCCTCCACTCTCCTCTCCAACACCAACTTATTATACCATCACACAGTGAGAGAGAGAGAGGAGAGAGAGAGAGAGAGAGAGAGAAACAAAAAAGGGAAAGGGAGAGAGATAGAAAGAGGAGGAAAAGATAGAAGAGAAACAAAGAAAAGAATGGATAAGAGAAAGGAAGAACAAGGAGAGAGTGAGAGAAAGTGGGTAGAGAAAGGAAGAGAGAAATAGAGGAGATCAAGGAGGTAAAGTGCAGAGAAGAGAACGGAAGAAAGAGAGGAGAGAGAGCGAGTAAAGAAAGGAAGAGAGAAAACGAGGAAAGAGAAAATGAGAGAGAAAGAGAGAGAGAGAGAGGACAGAATGAGAGGGAGAGAGTGGAGCGAAAGAGAGAGGACAGAATGAGAGAGAGAGAGAGGTTACAATGAGAGATAGAGAGAGGGAACCAGAGAGACAGAGAAGGAGAGAGTAGAGAGAGAGAGAGAAGAGAAAATGAAAGAGAGAGAGAGAAGGAAAGAATGAGAGAGAGAGCAAGATGAGGAGAGAATGTCAGAGAGAGAGAGAGAGAGATAGAGAGAGAAAATGAAAGAGAGAGAGAGATTGAGAGAGAGAGAGAGAGAGAGGGTGGGGGGGGCAGGAGCATTTGTGTTGAATGAACTAAATTGGCTGTAATTGACATTCATTGCCATTTTCCTTCTAAATGAATGGATTTGGCTGAAGTGTCCAGTTCTCTGGTTCTCTGTCCATCACGCTAACGCACCAACTTGTGGCTCCATTAAATAAAAGCACTGTGGGTTTTTCGTCAGTCGTGCCGTAGTGTGTTTGTATTGTGTGTTTGCTTTTAAACCGTGTAAATGAGTGCATCATGGTTAACACTTACAGGTCTGTGGTCGTTGCTGTTGTTTTTCCCATGCTATTTAAATGTAATTACATCGTTAATTAAACGGTTAATCACATGGTTAATTACATAAACTGCATTTATATTCAATTAATATTCTACATCAACATAGCCTGCACTTCCGACTTTAATCTTGTTTGTTTTGATGCCAAACGATGACAACATTGTGGCTCAGAGAAACAAATATTTATTTAAAAATATTTAAAATATGAATCATAATAAAATATCTTCTCTTGTACTTACAAACACAAATTTGGTATAGACTGAACGTTTAGCATCTGCACTTTCAATAGAATTTCTCTGCTTCTTTCACTGAGCTTCGTGTGAGTAATAATAAGGCAAAATACAAGAGGATGTTTTTCAAGACATTCCCAAAAACTAACTTATTAGTTGTTTAATAAGTTACAATTTGTGAATCTCTCTCTCTCTCTCTCTCTCTCTCTCTCTCTCTTTCTCTCATAGGAGGAGAGAAGGCAGTTGAGCAGTATGCTGGGTTTTGAGGCCAACTCCATGCTGTGCGTTCCTGTGGCCAGCCAGGCCACCGCCCAGGTGGTGGCGCTAGCATGCACCTTTAACAAAAAGGGAGGACAGAGGTAAGAGCAATGTCGGACTGCGTAATCAGGAGAGTCGGGAGATTTGCCAGTGAGCTGATTGCATTTTATCCCAGTAACTGTAAACTAATGTACAAACTCACATATATAAACACAAGAACGCTCAGACAAACTATAAACGTTAAATCGAGTGTGTCTGCGGTAAATTAATGGTTAAACCAGCGGCCCCCGAATGATCCAGCCCCAGTTTGCTGACTGTAACTGAGTCTGGTACAGTGGTTAGAGATTAGATGAAGCTGAAGTTAGCTACTTATTCTCATTTTCTGTTCCACCTTAAATGATGTAGCAGTTACAGATGCCTATAAAGGTGCTATGCAGCTGCTTCACTATTTAAAGTGGACTGGATGTTTGAATAAGAAGCCAACTTCAACCTCGAGAGATTAGCTTATCAAACTGTGCACGATGGTGTGAACCTGGTCCTGGCAAACACAACAGGCAGTACTTTAGTACTTATTTTGCATTACCGATGTAGCTATTTCAATACGTTGATGAACATCGGTGGCAAAAATGGCAAAAAAAACAAGGTGGCACAGAGAACACAAACTCAGTACATATCCGAACTGCTGACCTTAATTTACTTAGCGAGCATTAGTTAGTAGCTTATTGACTGTCATAATTGTCACATTTCAATTTAAGCTTTTTTTGCTAGCTAAACCTCTTGTAGAAACATAGTTAGAATTTGGAGTGGGCTGGTCTACATCGCAAACTCCCTGTCTGAAAACAGGTCCCACTCCAGTTCTGTGTGAGAGAGTGTGTGTATTCAGCTCTTTTTAGGGAACGATTGTCCCCATTATGATGTAACACACGAAAGTGTATGACATTGTGGGGACATTTGGCTTTTTTTTACCAAAAACTGAACTTTAGGGTGGACACTTTTGAAACTTTTGTACAAAAAAGTACATAATCTGACCTAGAACCATTTTTCCAGCACTTCTTTACAGTACAGCCATGCTTTGCTGACTAATGCCATGACAGTTATTAAAGAAGAATTCCACCGATTTTATCTATAATTCAGTTGTTAAGTCATTCACTGATGGACTGGCCATTGAGAGGACTAGGGCAATCTCCAGTGGGCAGTTATGTGTGTGGAGAGAGTGAGAAAGAGAGAAATTTACAGTTGTTAATAATGTAGTCCAATAAAAAACAGAGAGGACAGAGACGATCCAGAATGTGCAGGGTGAAAACTGGAGCACACGTATATATATACATATATATATATATATATATATATATATGCATTTTCAGTGTGTGGCCGACGGCTGTGATAAAGGAACAGGAAGTTACTTAACCCCTTAAAATCCCAGGCTTATTACATACTAAAGCTTATAATTCAGTCACTACAGGGACTTCAGTGCAAACTGACTGAGTTATTCTTCGGCTGTAGAAGTGTGTAGTATAACTTTGGACCCACCGCTGGGTCACTGGGACATTTAAGGGGTTTCAGAAGATGGCTAGCTCAATGTTAATATACTGTCACACACTGGCTTATTAACTAGGTAGCTAACTGCACAGGTTGCATTTTTTTTAGTCACTGTGGTTGTATTGGGCTAGTCTAGAAAAAAGTCCAGGCCTGAACTTGCCCTGAAGACAAAAAACAGCTAAAACAACAGTAGCATTCAGGCTCCTTCGCATGGTTAAGCTTCAGCCGTTTTATTATTTTAACAAGAATCATTTTATATTTTATAAACACATAATTTTACAACAACTTATGTGTTAAGTTTAATCAAGCCTACAATGAAAAACTGCCAAACACACCATACCAAGAACTACCAAACTCTATCAAATATGACCAACCCATACAATAAACTACCAAACCAAATACAACAGAACCATACCAAGAACTAGCAAACCATATTAGATACTATGAAACCATACCACATATTACTAAACAATACCACATACTACCAAATCACTAGCACATCATACCAAGAACCATACCAAATGCTACTGAACTATACCAGATACTATGAAACAATACTGCATACTACCAAACAATACTAAATACTACCAAACCATTCCAAATACTACCAAATCATTCCAAATATTATTGAATTATACCATGAACTACCAAACTGTACCAAGAACTACCAAACCGTATCAACTACTACCAAACCACACCAAGAGCTATCAAACTTTACCAAATACTATCAAATCATGCCAAGAACTTCCAAATCATACCAAATACTATCAAACCATACTAATAACTGCCAAACCATCCCATGAAAAAGTTATCTTACAAGTTTCTGACCAGAAATTATTTCCACATTGTACAGAGTTTTTGTTTTAAAGAGTTTTAGTTTTAAAATTGACATATAAGGCATGAAATATCAGTATGATATGTGTTATTATGGGTGTGCTGAGTTTACCCAGTATTATGTTTGAATTGCTCTATGTAATCTGCCATTGGACCTTCTTTGTATGCAGTTTGAGACATGGCCTGTAAGTAGGCACACTGGCAAAATTAGACTACATAATGGTGCGGTTTGGGGTAAAATTACAGCTGGTGGCCTAAATACTATAATCAGTGGTTAGCCAGGGGGATAATTGCACTGAGGCCCACGGTGCAGTGGGTCCTGCAGCAATTTGGCCACCTAAAATGTATTGGGCCCCTTTTACAAACTGACACACTTGTACATCTATGGTGTATAGAAAGACCCAATTTCCTAAGGATATTCGTCACCTACCATCAACACTACACACACATTCATTATAATTCTAAGATCACAAAAGATGAAAATGATTCTGTAAAAATAGTATATCAAATATATATGAGGGTGGAGTGGCATGCCTTGAGAGCATCAGCTTGTTAGATAACAACCAAACAAGCAAATTACAGTGTCATTTGTTATTCATTGAAAGTAATATTTTATATGGAGGGGGCATCATTTTTTTCTACACTGGGGCCCATAACATATTGCCTTCATGATTTATGCATGCATTAGCCTACAGAAAACAATGAATAAACAATAGGATGTTTTGTTTTGTTTGATTTCTTATTGTTTTATTTAATTCTAGAACATGCCATTTATTTAATTCTAGAACATGCCAACTATGGCTTTAAGATGCACAAAAGTAATTTATTTGTGTCACAATCTGTTTTCTTTTAATGTATAAGGTTAGTTTATGTCCTGATTTAATTTATTACCCGTGGTCGCGCTTAAACTGATAAAGCCGTGCTGCAGCCTTCCACACGAAGAATGGCTTCCCTCACGAAACCTGCCTGGGGGCTTAAAGATTTTTACATTGACATTACATCAGTTATTAAAAACAAAAAAGGCCTTCAGCCTTCTTCACTTGGCTGAGCTTAAGCAGGTTTATTATTTTAACAAGAAGCAATTTATAGGCTATAAACAAATAGTTTATTAAACCTATTGCAAAAAAAACTACTGAACACACCAAAAACTACCAAACTATAACAGTAAGAACCAAACCATACCAAATACTACCTACCCAAACAATTAACTTCCAAACCATACCAAGAACTAGCAAAGTATACCAAATACTGTCAAACCATACCAAGAACTACCAAACCATACCAAGAAATACCAAACCATACCAAATACTACCAACCCATACCAAATACTACCAAACCATACCAAGAACTGGAATTGTATACCAAGAACTAGCAACGTATACCAAATGCTACCAAACCATACCAGGGACTACCAAACCATAGAGAGACAACCAAGCCATACCAATAACTAGCAAAATATACCAAATACTACCAAACCATACCATTAACTACCAAACTGTACCAAGAACAAAGATGGTATATTGCACATGATATAACAAGCCTACCAACCCTTAAAGAGTTTAGCCTTTTTCGTTTTACATTTTTTAGTTACATTACAGAAAATATGAAGAAAAATCATCAAATGAAATGATGAACAACATAATACAAAAACAACAGGGCTTTGTAATAAAAAGGTCTCACTGTGTAAATGCTTTATATTATTGGTGTCCCTCCAACAACCCCCACCAACCTATCTGGTTTTGCCATGGCTCAAATCTCGTGCTTCAAGGTGGCTCTTTGTTTTTAGCTACGTGTTATACTTTTTTTTTGTCACACAGCCTCAGAAACCATATAAGCAAGTCTATTTGAGATTTCTCTCAGTCACTCTTTTCAGTTTTAGGCCATTAAGATGCTAATTGGTGGGCTACAAGCTTTTATTATTTGCTAGACACATTAGCCTCTTTATTACATTAGCCAGTACAAAACTTAAGAAGCAAGACATTTTTTGGCCACAAATACCCCAGCTGATTGACAACATGGCGTAAATTAGATTTTTCTAATAATAACTTTCGTTTTAAAGTTAGTGTTGGATTAGTTGTAACACAGCAGCATTTACATATACTCGTACAGAAGCACATGGAAACATGCGTATGTTTGCTTTTACTTGATTGTATTATTTCCTGCTGTTTCACATCTTATTGAGGGAAATAAAAATGTATCACTCAAACTCTTCTAATTAGAGATTTAAAGAGTAAAGCCATGATATACAATGTGTTAATTCATCCAATCAGCTTATAATTCATTCGAGAGAGAGAGGAAGAGAGGGAGAGAGAGAGAGAGGGTATGTGTAAAGTTTGCCTGTGCAAGTGTTGACACTGAAATTCATCTTAGCTTTGGGTTTTGTCACATCTCTCCATCTGGTTTACATCTTTTGTTCCCTCAGTGTCTTATTCATCTGTCCTTCTGTTTGAAAAAGTGTTGGTGCTCTGGGAAGAATTTATTTACTATCAGCTCTGCACTTTCTGAGAGAAAAACAATATTCTTCACTGTCATATTAAAACCTCTTTCAGCTTTTATAAAAGCAGTTGTTGCATAAGAGACCGCACATTACTGTGATTTTATCACTGACGTGCAGTGTTAACTGTGGTAAAATCACTGTAACGCTCAGCCTCAAGTGATGTATTGAAGGAACGTCGCTGTTATACCAGGTGGTTGTTAGAATTGGTAGAAATGCTGGTTTCCCAGCATTCATCCATTCAGTTACAGGAAAAAAATCGTCTTTGAATGAACACTGTACAAAAAACCTATCTGTGATCGGTCCCAAAAGGATACACGCACTGTTCTCAAGTAGGTTCTACGATCCTGGTAGGTTTTGTGGTTCTAACTCAAAAACTGCGACCCATGAAAACAGTACAAATAAAGCATAGATTGATAAAATGAAGTGTAAGTTGGCTTTGTCAAGCTGACTTAACTACAATACAATATACATGATCAATAATAATTATTTAAACATAATTGCAATAGCAGTTCATCCACAGTGTAAGAAAAATGCATTTAAGTGTACTTTTTCAAAGGTGTATTTACTGTAAAAAGTACTTTTTTTATATTTCAGATTTACACGTTAAACATACTTTTAAACTTACTAAATGCATCATTTTGGAACGACTGATGTTTTGAAATTGTGATTAAGCTCTGATTACATATATATTATTTGCATTTTGCTTTTGGGTGCTTTTAACTTAAGTAGGTGTAAGTAGGTAGTTTGCAGTGTTGCAGACGGTTCTTACATTTGTAGTTTATTACAAAAATATACTGATATCCTTCAATGCTACTTATTGAGTTATACTGCAACTAAAATTCACTTAAATGCATGTTATACACTTAAATACGTTCAACAAATAAAACATGTAAATAAAGGTATTTAAGTAAACTCTTAAATATATTATTAGAAATACCTAATATCTTACCTAACTTGTAATTTTAAAGTACATGGTCTATACTGGGTCTAAATTCTACTACACAATACCTGCTCTTGGGGTGTGTAAATAAACCTTGTATCTCCATTTTTGTCATTTTTCAGTTTTTGACATAATTTGAAAAAACCTGTTGCCCCTTACATTGTGTGTAAATTTCATGATGAGTGGACTAAAGAAATCACTCAATATGACTTGGTAAAAAGTCTGGTTCCATTGACTTACATTACATGGCTTAGTTGACCCTTCAACCGTCGCTATTTTGGGAATTACCAAAAACATAAACACATAAATAAATGATACAAAAGTTCATTATTGAAAATGTATCGTATCATGATGCAAAAATGAAAATACATATTATGTATTGTATCGCAGAATTTGCGCATCGTCTCACCCCTGCACAACACTGTGTGTGAGTGCTGGCGTAAGCACACAGTTTGGTAATAGTGTTTGACTGAGTGGCTTAACGTGTGTGAATGGCTTCAGTATGTGTCTTGGCAACTGTGTGTGTGTGTGTGTGTGTGTGTGTGTGTGTGTGTGTGTGTGTGTGTGTGTGTGTGTGTGGTTCTTGGCTGTTTAAAGCTCTCTTTCTCTCTTTTGGCCGTCATCCTGACAGCGCTCTATTGAAAACACACACACGCACACCCATGGCATTTTGATAAGGACTGTGTTTGTCCCACATGTGTGTGTGTGCCAATCTCACACTTTCAGTCTTTCAACACTGAGTGTGTGTGTGTGTGTGTGTGTGTGTGTGTGTGTGTGTGTGTGTGTGTGTGTGCGCCTGCATGTGTGTTTTTAAAGTGTTTTTTAAAGTTTAATTCTTTCAAACCATTTCTTTTGACCACTGAGTTTAAGTTAGATTTTGGGCTATTAAAAAGTCAGAGACCCATTTTCTGCCACCTAAACACCTTCAGTAATGTTGAGATCTGGACTCTGGGGCGGTCAGTCTATTATTCTGCTTCTTTGTTTGATAAGTATGGCTTGATCTTCTCAGCAGCATGATTTGGGTCGTTATCCTGCTGTACAGTGAATTTCTTCCGAGTCACACGTTTTCCAGTGTTGGTCATCCTCTAGTCCTTCATCAGTGATCACAGGATGCTGCCCACAGGACGCTGTTGGCTGCATGTTTTTGGTTCTCAGTCCAGCAGCGACACTGAGGTGTGTAAAAACTTCAGCAGCACTGCTGTGTCTGATCCACTCAGACCAGCGCAACACACTAACACACCACCACCACCTCAGTGTCACTGCAGTGCTGAGAATGATCCACCACCCAAACTCTGTGAGGGTCCATGGGGGTCCTGACCACTGAAGAACAGGGTAACAAAGTATCAGAGAAACAGATGGACTACAGTCTGTAACTGTAGAACTACAAAGTGCTCCTATACGGTCAGTGGTGCTGATAAAATGTACAGTGAGTGCAGATATAAAGACATGTAGTTAATGAAGTGGTCAGTTGGTGTGTGTGTGTGTGTGTATGATGATGTATGATCACTTTGGTAACATGATATATGTTGTGAAAAAGCAATCAGACAAATGACTGATTTAGCATACTGTGTGTCTGTGTGTGTGTGTGTGTGTGTGTGTGTGTGTGTGTGTTTGTGTGTGTGTGTGCGTGTTTGTGTGTGTGTGTGTGTGTGTGTGTGCATACTCGACTCAGCTGGAGATCTACTCAGGGTCTAGTGAAAACAAGAGAAGACAGATGGATCTCTAGAAAAACACACACACACACAGTTTATCATAAGAGTGCAGTGATTTTGTTAGTGATTTATTTATCAATTTATCAAAATTTAGCAGGTCCTAGTTGTATGCCTAAGTTTGCGCAGCTGAGCACTGAAAAGGTGGTGAAGCGCAGTGGTAAACATGTTCCTGTCCCAACGAATTTAGAATACACGTATATCTACACAAAGCAATCAAGTTAATCAGTTGAAAAATTAAATATCTTGTCTTTATGCTGTTTTCTGTTGAATACAGGTCAAAAGGTATTTGCAAATCATTGCTGTCTGTTTTTACTTACATTGTTCCAACAAAGATGAGACAGTAGGAACAGGTATGTAAGTAAAAACAGACAGAAATGATCTGCAAATACTTTTTGACCTGTATTCAACAGAAAACAGCATAAAGACAAGATATTTAATAATAATCGACATTAACAAGTATTCTGCTAAGAAATGAAGTTCCTTTAGAGTACAGTATCGTTGCCATGCAATCATGGTCCGTTCAATGCGGAGAACGTTAGGTCACCCGTCGCTGCATATTGCGGTCATTTCATGAATTTTTAAACTTTTTGCCGCATAACTATGAACATGTGATAACACAGCACTGATTAATGCAAAAGCTTTTGCTATATAAATACTTTTTGGTCACCAAATTACCACCGTGAGTCTTATATAGGACCAATCCAGTGGCGCCCTCTTCTCACACTGGGGCTGAATCTCAAATAACTCCCTGCTCCCTACATACTGCACTACATAGGAATTTAAATACTGGATCCTGCAGCCCAACAGAGCAAAATACAGATAAGAAGTACTCATTTGGGATTCAGACTCATCCACACTCCATAAATGATGCAGTATTTGGCTGTAGAGGCTAGAACTTTAATAGCTAGCACACTATTTAGGGAGTACAGCATATAAAACATTCAAGCGACATTTTTAGACTTTTATGCTGCCGTTTTACAGTTAATCAGACTGTAAGTGCTTTAATTCAGCCTGTGATATTAATGATGGCGCTGTTTAGGCTGTTGGCTCCTTTTAGCCTGTTAGCTAGCTGACCAGCCTAGTTCTAGCTAAGAACCTAAGTCTCCAGCCCCTCAGTTTGAATAAAAAACGGGTTCTTACTTCATCAGTACAGTCGGTGCTCCATGTGAGCAGCATGAGAGTCAAAGATTATTCCAATAACATCACAAGGGGTTTTTTTCATGCTGTGGTGCAGTAATACAGAGATCAGTCAGAGTTTACAATGGCTTCGAACACAGCTCAGCCAATCAGATTTTAGGACCAGAACTATCCATTTTATAAAATGTAGTATGTATAGTATAGTAGTTTATTGTAATTTTGCACTAATTGTTTTCCAAATTGTAAGTTATTAATGTCAAATGCTGTTTATTTTGTATTTATGTGAAAGTTCTCACTGTTAGTATATGGGTGTAGTTTTTTTGTCACTAAGCGAGTTAGCTGGGCGGCTAATTTGTCATCAGCCTGTCTGGTTTCTATTAACTTTAACAACACAGTCCAGTCCAGAACGTTACATAGTGACTTTAAACACTTCAGCGCTCCAAAATGAATAATTCACATATTTGAGAGTTGTGTGCTGAGTGGACAGACCATCCTATGAGGACTTTGATTTTGCCTCCATAATTTAACCAAGTATTTAACATCCTCATAAAGACAATGACATTTTTATTTAGAGTTTTAAGTGAAAGTTGGAAAACTTCCAGTCAAATAATAATAATACCATCTGCCCGAGTTTGTAGAAAGTGGGTGGGGCCTCATGAAGTGCCACCGTTACTGTGGCAACATAGCAGGGATGTGATGCAGAGCCAAACTCAAGTGACCCTCATGGCTTGTGTGTGTGTGTGTATGAGAGAGTAAATGTGAAGTGGTGACGCAGGCTGTAATGCACTGGGGTCCGTCTGTGACGCAGTGATGGGAATATGTCATTCCACAGGACTGATCATGTAAGCTTCCTTAAGTTGATGGGTCTCTCTCTCTCTCTCTCTCTCTCTCTCTCCCTCCCTCTCTTCAGGTACACTGCAGCTGATGAGCATTTGATCCAGCACTGTTTCTGTTACACCTCCACAGTGCTGACCAGCACACTGGCCTTCCAGAAGGAGCAGAAACTCAAGTTTGAGTGTCAGGTAGGAAGAAGGGATGGGACGAACGAGTGCAGAGGGAGAGGGAGATTAATTTTAGCTGTCATTCAAGGTCTTTCACTCATCAGTGTTGTAATATTGAGAGAGAGAAAGAGAGAGAGAATGAGAAGGAGAGAAAGTGAAAAAGAGAAAGAGGCACAGAAGGGAAATGAGAGAGACAGAGAGCGAGGGAGAGAGAGAGAGAGAGAGATGGAGGATGAGTAGTGGTCTCTCAGGTAACCAAAGTGCTGAGCAGTGAGGTCATGACCTTCTGGAATCTCCCCTGAGAACCGCTGAGTGCTCTTCATCATCCTGCTCTGTCTGGAGTCCCTACAACACACACACACACACACACACACACACACACACACACAGAGTACGTACTTATTTTGCTCTTTACAAGCATTTATTTTACAGAAACTGCACTTTTTCCCTTTTTTTCAGTGAAAGCTAAAAGAGCAGAAGCTCTTTCTCTCTGAAAGGTTAAAGTTAAACTAAAGGCGATATTGGCTCAGTATTAGACACAGCAGTGCTGCTGGAGTTTTAAACACTGTGTCCACTCACTGTCCACTCTATTAGACACTCCTACCTTGTCAGTCCACCTTGTAGATGTAAAGTCAGAGACGATAGCTCATCTGCTGCTGCACAGTTTGTGTTGGTCATCCTCTAGTCCTTCATCAGTGGTCACAGGACGCTGTTGGCTGGATATTTTTGGTTGGTGGACGATTCTCAGTCCAGCAGTGACACGGAGGTGTTTAAAAACTCCAGCAGCACTGCTGTGTCTGATCTCCTGCACTCCTTTACTCTGAAGCCATGCTATTGTAAAGTTCAGAATGTGGCTTGGCAATGTCCTTGAAAAAGACGTCATCTAGATGGCAGCAGATGTTGCTCCAAAATGCGTATGTGCCCCTCAGCATTAATCAGATGTGCTAGTTACCCACTAACACACTCCCATACCATGACAGACACTGGCTTTTTGCTGGTAAAATTAAGGATGGTCCTTTTCTTTTTTGGCCCAGAGAACACAACGTCCATTATTCCCAAAAAATAGTTGGACTCACCTTATCACAGCACTCATTTCCAATTTTGCCTCAGTCCATCTCAGATGTGCTTTAGCCCAGAGAAGTCGGCGGCGTTTCTTGATGTTGTTGATATTTGGCTTCCGCTTTGTGCAGTAGAGTCCTAACTTGCATTTGTAGAAGCATCAACAAACTGTGTTTACTGACAGGGATATCCAAAGTATTCATAAGCCCATGTGATTATATTTATCACAGAAACATGTCAGTTTTTAATGCAGTGCTGTCTGAGTGATTGAGGGTCATGGCCATTCAATTTACACACATAGATTCACATGATTTTCACAAAGTGAATCCAGTTTCTAATTTTTTCACCCACATCCACAAGAAAACAACAGGGACTGCATGTTTCATAAATCATCACAAATAAATAATCCAGGCATTATTATAGTTGTTTATGAATTGTTTGTGTGTGCTTTTTTGTGCAGGCTCTACTTCAAGTGGCTAAAAACCTCTTCACACACCTTGGTGAGTTGTTTGCAATTTTGTTTTATTTGCTCAGTTTAACATATTGGAAAATATAATTTATAATCATAAAATATAAAACATGGTAGTAAATGTAATAGCAAATTTACGTATGTCAATATGTTCATTCAACATTTTTACAGTAAGAATTTCAATTATTCTAAAGATATATAAATATATGAAACTCTTACTGCTGAAATAAATGCTTTCAAATAATGTGCCTAAGACTTTTGCACAGTATTGTATGTGTATACATAATATGTAAAATTATACACAATACTATGTAGTGTAATGTGTGATATGTAATATCAGTTCACTACACAAACTACTACTACAACTACAGTTATGTGAAGTTAGAGTCAGTAAGATAACATGCATTATGTATGTCAAAGTCACTTATTTTCATATTAAATAATTTAATAAATAGATGCCAAATATCACATTATTTTTCATTAGATCCTTTATCCAAATTTTTGTTTGTAGTGCATCATAAAAGTTTAAAAAATAAAGTTTATTTACGCATTTATTCCTTCCACAGTCTAAACATTTCAGATGGTATGACCACTGTGCAACCATATATGCAGATTGTAAAAAGATGTGAAATCTTTTAAAAAAGGTAATTTAGTCATATAATTCTGAATAAAATTATTTTGAGTAACTTTATTCTCACAAACTTCAAAATCGAAACTTGTTGAAAAATAGGACAGCTGTAAAAGTAATCAACTCATTGCAAAAACTTTTTTTTCTACAAAATATTACACAGCACAAATGACAACAAAGGACTTTTATTCTGACAAGCTTTCAAGAAATAATAAGTAGCATATTGCATCATACAGGACCCCCCGAGTGGCCATAATAATGTCTTAGGAACACCTGAGATTCCGAAGCAACAGCCAAGCAACACCTGAGCAACCACCTGGAGTACCATAACAATAGCCTAGCAAAACCTTAGCAGTCACCTGGGATTCCACAGCAGCAACTTAGCAACCACCTGGGATAACCCAGCAACAGAATAGCAACACCTAGACAACCCACTTGGATTCCATAGCAGTGGCTTAGCAACACATTTGCAACCACGTGGGATTTCATTGCAATGAACTTGCTGTTGAAATCTAGCTTTTACAAGGATCTACTTCAGTTTAAAAGCCCAAATCTGAATATATATCCCATAAAACTGGTGTCAGACCAGAGGCAGTATATAGGCTGACCATGCTTAGCTGGACAATAGCATGGGCTGTGACCAGTGCTGACTCCCTCTCTCTCTCTCTTTTCTCAGATGATGTGTCTGTTCTACTGCAGGAAATCATTGTGGAGGCCAGGAACCTGAGCAATGCTGAGATGTGAGTTTAGGCTTCCTTACACAGCACAATAGAGACATAAGTCTGTCTATCATTGCGGGGAGTATTTTATTTTAATGGGGCCGTCAACATGATGGCATAGTTCAAGTAGAGTCATGACAACATAAACAACTACACAGCGGCAGGGTTATGGTTACAGTGGTTAATGTTACATTAAAGTGCCAATGTTATATTAGGTGCCAGCGTTAGTGGCTAGTGCGAGTAGATATTAGGCCAACACAACATATACACAGTTGTATTGTGTACGACTGGCCCGAATAATTTGAATACCCAAGTGTTTGTTTGTTACGCTGGAAGTTGTGTCTTTAAGCCACAAAAAAATGTTGCCTAAACTAAATAAAGTTAATTTAATTTCAATGCATTTATCAACAAAGGCTTTTAGATAGAACATGAATTGTTAATATATGGAAAATGTTCTAAATAAATAAATTACAGCAGGTTATTATTCAGGCCTGACATTCACATCACCTCCGAGTGCAAAAAAGTGCACAGCTTTCTACACAGTAATCGAAGCAAAAATAACTAAGACACCCAGGAAATCATGTGTGGGAACGCTTCAAATTATTAGACGACAAGAAAAATGCTCAGTGCAAAATTTGTGGTACGAGGTTAGTATACTTAGTGACCCTTATCACACTCTACCACTATCACCGAAATTTTTTGAAACGATGAAAAATGATATTGCCAAAGTACTAAAGTATAACTAAAAATTGATGGAATTCATTACCTTGTGTGACCAACCGTTCCCTGTTGACGTTGTACATCATGGCACATACTGTAGGCTATATACATGATTTTTTACATTTATTAGGTAAGTTTATACGTAATTTTAGAAGGCTTATTTTAGGTAAATTGTTTTTTATTAATTCTCAGCTTTTGTCAGAGTTTGGTTTTGGTTTTTGACGGATTATGGCCTGAATTTGTTTTTCTGATTTCTGCTAGGAATTTTCTTTACAGTGCATCATCAAGTCTCTGATTCTCAGAGTTTTTTGACTTGATTCGGACTTGCGCATCAGAGTCTTGAGACTTGAGGCTTGACTCAGCCTTGCACATCAGAGTTTTGCAACTTGACTCAGACTTGCGCATCAGAATCTTGAGACTTGACTCAGACTTGCACGTCAGAGTCTTGAGACATGACTCGGACTTGCATCTCAGAGTCTTGAGACTTGATTCAGTCTTGCATCTGAGTCTTGAAACTCGACTCAGTCTTGCATCTCAGAGTCTTTAGACTTGATTCAGTCTTGCATCTGAGTCTTGAAACTCGACTCAGTCTTGCATCTCAGAGTCTTTAGACTTGATTCAGTCTTGCATCTGAGTCTTGAAACTCGACTCAGTCTTGCATCTCAGAGTCTTTAGACTTGATTCAGTCTTGCATCTGGGTCTTGAAACTCGACTCAGTCTTGCATCTCAGAGTCTTTAGACTTGATTCAGTCTTGCATTTGAGTCTTGAAACCTGACTCAGACTTGCTCAGAGTTTTGTGACGACTTGGACTTGCAACTCAAAGTTTTGTCGTTCATTTCTTATTCAAGAGACCGTGTGGGACGAGGCTATGATGAAGGTAAAGTTAGCCTGAATTTCTGTTTCGTTACCTTTTTCCAACAATACAGAGGAAGCATACATCAGCAAATAATCAGCATCATTTCTACTTCTCAGAAGGTAATAGTGATTCATGCCAGAAAAAAAGAAAACAGCCTATTGAACAGAAACAATACCACTAATTCTACATCCTTACTTATGCCGAACCATACCCCTAAAAAGAGAATAAAAGTACAAAGGCTACAAAGAATGTGAATAATTGCACTGGGGTTGCATCTCGATCCACTCCACACTGTAGCCTGTACTTGCCTGGGTGGAAACAGGCCATAAGAGAGCACTTAAGAGGCTATTTAAGTAATTCCTCATGATGATTACGATCTCATAGCCTCATTACTGTTGGATTTGAAGAACACAGTCTTGCCCAGAACTTTGGCCGTGTAGTGGTTTGTAAGGTGTCAGCAAGATCACTGATTGTGTGCTTGTGTTGGAGGGTTTTTTTGTGTGTGGCGGGCAATTAGTGCTGCAATTAATTATTAATTTTGCCTTATCTCTCTCTCTCTCTCTCTCTCTCTATCTCTCTCTCTCTCTCTCTCTCTCTCTCTTAGTTGTTCAGTGTTTCTGCTCGATCGTGTCAGTCATGAACTCGTGGCCAAAGTCTTCGATGGTGGGGTGGTGAACGAAGACGAGGTATGTTTCTATGTATAGCGTGTAAGTATGTGTCAGGTACTCTTGTCCTTTCTTTGAGGCAGTCATCCTGTTACTCGTTATATTTTCATGTTTTCACTACATGGATAACTGAGCAAGAGTGAGCAGAATACATGCTATTATTTTGTTACATGGAATTTTAGTTTCTTAAGACAGTACCTCATACAATGTGTGTTGCAGTGCCTTCCTTAGAAATAAGCAGGGTTGTGCTTGATGATAACGATTTGCGACTTAACTTGACTCGCACTTGCATCTCAGTCTTGAGACTTGACTCGAATTTGCATATCAGAGTCTTGCCCCTTGACTCAGACTTGCATCTCTGAGCCTTGAGACTTGACTTGGATTTACATTTCAGTCTTGAGACTTGAACTTCAGAGTTTTGTGTCTTGACTCAGACTTGTATCTCAGAGTTTTGAGACTCTGACTTGCACCTCAGAGTTGATGACTTGACTCAGACTTGCATCTCAGAGTCTGGTGAGTTGACTCTGCCTTGCATTTCAATCTTGAGACTTGACTCAGACTTCCACATTTGTCTTAAGACTCGACTCGGATTTGCATATCAAAGTCTTGCAGTTTGACTCAGACTTGCATCTTGGAGTCTTGAGAATTGACTCTGACATGCAAGTCTGGTGACTCGACTTACACTTGCACCTCAGAGTCTTGCAATTTGATTTAGACTTGCGTCTCGGAGTACTGAGAATTGACTCTTACTTGAACCTCAGACTCTGGTGACTTGTCTCAGACTTGCATCTCAGAGTTTTGAGAATTTACTCTGGCTTGCACCTCAGAGTCTTGTGACTTGACTCGGAATTCCATATTAGAGTCTTAAAACTTGACTCATACTTGCACCTCACAGTACTGACACTTGATTCTAACTGGGCTGTTCTGGTTGTGACCATGTTTATTTCCTTTCAACTATGCAGAAGGAGTTCCGTATCCCTGCCGATCAGGGCATCGCGGGTCATGTGGCCACCACAGGCAAAATCCTCAACATCAAAGATGCCTACTCCCACCCGCTGTTCTACCGGGGAGTGGACGACAGCACCGGCTTCCGAACCCGAAATATTCTCTGTTTCCCCATCAAAGACGAGAATGGAGGTACTACAGACAGTTCAGACAGGAACGGCTGTATGGAGGCTGCTGCTAGACAGTATGCAAAACAGTGTCAGAAACCACTTAAGTCTGTTTGAGATAACTTAAAAATCCAAAACAGTTTGTGGTAAGGAGGTGATAATTCACTCATGCACTTTTACGATGCTAGTAACCTTCTGTTGCTTGTAAGCTACATTAACCTTGTAGCTTCTTGTATCTCCTCATAGCGTCTCATAGTGCTAAATTAGTGAAGCAAACATGTCTTGGCTGATTTAGGAACACTGTATTTAGGGTAAACGTGTTAATTAGATTTTTCAAAATAAGCCATTATATTCGGTTCATACTGTGGTATGAGTAGATCTGCAATGATGTAATTGTTTTTAACCGCTTGTATGAGTTCTTTAGCGCAGATCTTTGTTTTGCACAGAAAAATCAAGGTCAGTCTTGGACAGGATTATGCTGTTAGTGCCTCGGTTTCTTAGAGGACTTGGCGGACTAGGCCTCAAGTCTTTTCTAGAAAACAGATGCAAATTGACCATTTTGGATGCATCACAAATTACCTACCAGACCACCAGTTTTCGTCAGACATGGCCAAACCTAAAGTGGCCTTAAAAAAAGTGGCAGAAGGCTGTAAACTCAAGATGACGTGTAATTTGGCCAGCCTTCACCAAAACCAATCACAGCAAAACCAAATCAAAGGAGTGAAATAACCAGAAAATGAATGGAACTGACACTCTAATTCTCCCCCAGTCATGCGTGTCTGTGTTTGTTTTGAACATTTTAGGTGCTTTCAGCATTTTGGGTGTGTGTGTGCTTGGGCTGAGTGTTTGGAGTGGATTTAGATGTCCTGTCTGCCTGTTGTAAGTATTTGCAGCTGTTTCTGACTGTATATGTTCTTGTTTTTGTATATTTTCAGTATAAACATGTCCTGACTTTGCAAGATAATCAGAGAAACCAGGACAAACAAAATGGTCCTGACTTTATAAAGTGCTTTTTACATAAGTTCCATGTTTAAGAAAGCTAAGGTGTATGTATGTATAAAGCAAATGGGGCAAATTACTATTATGCATGTGTTTGTATGCATAAATCACATGCCCACTCCAGGTAAGGGGAAAGGACCTGCCCCAGGTGGAGGAGTTTAAGTATCTCGGGGTCTTGTCCACGAGTGATGGGAAGAGGGATCATGAGATCGGCCGCAGGCTGATGAGCTGTGGGTAATGACCGAAAGAATGAGATTGCGAATACATCAGCGGAAATGAGCTTTCTTCGCAGGGTGGTGGGCTACACTCTACTTGATAGGGTTAGAAGCTTGGTTATCTGGGAGGAGCTCAGAGTAGAGCTGCTACCCCCCTCGCATTGAGAGGAGACAGCTGAGGTGGGGCCTCTGATCGGGATGCCCCATGGACGCCTCCCAGTGGGGGTTTACCAGGCACAGCCTACTGAGACGAGACCCCAGGGTTGCCTTAGGACCTGCTGGAGGGGTTATATCTCCAAGTTGGCCTGGGAGCGGCTTGGGGTCCCCTGGAATGAGCTTGAGGAAGTTGCGGGGGACAGGGCTGTCTGGGATTCTCCGCTCTCCCAACTGTTACCGCGACCCTATCTGGGCTTAGCGGTTAAAGATGATGATGATGATGATGATGATATGTGTATATATTAATTCATATAGGTACTTATATATAATACATATGGGACAATTGTGTGTGTGTGTGTGTGTGTGTGTGTGTGTGTGGCGTTGAGAATTCTTTGAATGTGATCACTGCTGACTCAGATTCACATCCCCTCTCTCTCTCTCTGCACAGAAGTTATTGGAGTTGCTGAGCTGGTGAATAAGACGAATGGACCGTGGTTTAACCGCTTTGATGAGGATCTGGCAACCGCTTTCTCTATTTACTGTGGGATCAGCATTGCCCATGTGAGTGGGACAGTAGTACAAATGAAGTAACAGAATCTTTGTGGAATGCTTTTGCCTGCCCAGTAGTGGAGGTCCAAATGATTTTTCAAGGACTTGGCAATGAAAATCGTACACGTCTTTGTTGAGAAGGCTATGACTTAAAAATCTACTGAACCTTATCCAACCACAAGAGGGTGCTGTTCTCAAAATTTAATTTTGCCATCTACTGAGAGACAAGTGGGCAGCATAGAGAACGTTGCTTTAAAAGTGCAGATAATGTAACCAATTAAAGCGTGTTCATTTCTTTTGATCTCAAAGGGCCTCGATTAGCAAATGGAAATTAAAAGCAGTGAGTTTTAGGAAGGATTATTTATTTCAAAATGACATGAAATAGAAAGTATGAAATAATTCTAATATTGACTGTGAGGATGTCAATTTAATTGCAAATATTAAAATCTTAATTGTCCTACAGATTTAAAGATGATCATGAACCAAAGATTAATAAATCCTAAACAATATTTTAGAAAAAATAAAATGTCAAGCCCGATCAGGACCATGTGGGCGCACAGTGATTGGCAGTGGTAAAGATATTGAAACATAAACAAAACCACTGCAGCAGGCGTTTTTGGCTATTTAAAGCTTTTATTTTCTGGCAGGAATTGGACTTCGAATGTGAAGACTATGTTTGAGATATTTTTTGAGGTCCAGCAAGAAGGAATGTTAAGTGTTAGTCTATGTAATTTAATGATAAACTGAACAAGCCATAACTAAACACAAAGCATTTTGCTTAGAGAGCTTGAAGTGTAAGGTATACTCTGAAAAACCAAGGCATTATGACCACCTGCTGTGGGTAGTTCATGTCGCACCAAAACAGCTCTGACTTGCCGAGGCCTGGACTCTACAAATCCTTGGAAGATGCCATGTGGTATCTGGCACCAATACGCCCAGCGGCAGGTCATGCAACTTGCAAGGTGGAGCCGCTTCACATCAGACTTGTTTTTCCAACACATCCCACAGAGGCTCAATCAGATTGAGATCTGGGGAATCTGGAGGCCAGGGCAACACCTTGAACTCTTCGTCATGTTCCTCAAACCATTCCTGATTAATGTGTCCAGTATGGTAGGGCGCATTATCTTGCTGAAAGAGGTCACTCTCATCGGGGAATATCATTGCTGTTAAGGCGTGTACCTGGTCTGCAACAGTGTTTGGACAGGTGGCGTGAATGCCTGGATCCATCGTTTCCCTGCAGAGCATTGCCCAAACCATCACACTCTTCCACTGGCTTGTCTTACTCCCACAGTGCATCCCGGTACCCTCACTTCTCTAGGTAAACAAGGCACATGACGGCCATCAATGTGATTTAAAAGAAAAAGGGGGTCATTTGACCAGGCGACCTTCTTCCATTGCTTCAAGGTCCAGTTCTGACACCTGCATACCCATTTTAGATCCTTTTTACTCTGGGCAGGGGTTAGTGTGGGCATTCTGACCGATCTGTGGCTATGCAGACCCAGGCGCAGCAGGTTGTGATGCACTGCCTTCGTTGCATCGATGAACTGATGCATTGATGAGCCTTGGGCACTCAACACCCTGCCACTGGTTCGTGGTTTGTTCCTCCTCAAACCACTGTCAGTAGGTACTCACCACTCCTGACAGGAAGCATCCCACAGCCTTGCTGCCAGAGATGCTCCGACCCATTTGTCCAGCCACAAAATTTGGTCCGTGTCAAGGTGGCTCAGGTCTTCACGCCTGCCTACAAGAACAGACTATTTGTTTACCATCCAATATATTCCACACCTAGATATGCTCCATTTTCACAAGATATTCATCTGTAAATGGTCATAATATTTTGACACACTGATGTATGTTCATGTGACCACATGTTAATCATGCCAGATATAATTAGAATCTAAATTAGGTCTAAATCTTACAACATGGCTTGAAACGCAATGTGTCTTTGTGCACTGAAGATGCATGAATGATGAATGTTGTGTGGCTTACCGAAAAGCAATAAAACATTTTTTTTCAATTACGACACAAAAAATTTAGCCTAAATTAAATGCATTGCTCTACATTAGATTATATTTAGCATAAATAGCATATGTATGTTTCAGCTGGAGAAAAAACTCTGGCCATGCGATGTGTCGAATAAAACAAGTACATCTGAAGAACAGTAGGGAACTTCCAGCTCATGCTTGGTCTGTGTGTTATGTATTGAAATAATGAAACCTTATTAATGAATTATAATTAACCTAAAAACAGCTCGTTTAGAGTTCTAAGCAAAGACATTGACTGTATTCTGTTTGGTTTTTTAGTCCCTGCTGTATAAGAAAGTGCATGAGGCGCAGTTCCGCAGCCACCTGGCCAATGAGATGATGATGTACCACATGAAAGTGTCTGAGGAGGAGGTGACCAAACTGCTGACTAGTGGTATCGAGTCAGTCGAGAAGATTCACCCCAGCTTTGCCGAGTTCACCTACACACCACGCTCTCTACCAGATGACAGCACACCAATGGTCAGTCTGTGTGTTTGGGGCCCTACATTCAGATCTTTGTGGGCAGTAAATGTCCCCAGATTGATGGGAAAACCAAAAAAAAGTGTGACATTGTGGGAACCTATTTTCCAACCAGCTGATAAATACTGGTTTTCGACAAGAACATTGTAGTCAAAATCCTGTTTGTAAGGCAAAGCAGTCAACAAAATCAGATTTATCACTATTTTATGATAAACATTGTATTTAAAACTCATGTAGGTTTGCTGGTGGTTTTGTATAATAAGACATAAATCTATCTTTGCATTGTAGAAATTGAAACCCCTGGTTCCTATGACCACCACTGTTAGGAGAGTTTCTCAACAATGAACCATTTTACATCAAACCAATGACCTTGTTTACATCTTAATGACTGAATTGTGCAGACATTGTTAAAAAACGGTGCCTTTAACACACATAAAAGTAGCATTTAATGTCATTTGTTACGTTATGTAATATTCTTAAGCATAGCATTGCAACCCTCAGCCTTAGCTGTTTGACACAATTCATGATTTTGTATCCTTTTTGTGTTTTCTCTCAGTACAATACCCAGCACGCATTGCAAATCTTTCCCAAAGCAATAAGGAAATGCATAGGCATAGAGGCAAATAAAAATATAGACATGATATTCAGCCACCTAGCAGTAACATTAGCGGTCTGGCTTCCTTATGCATTGCAAACAGCCTGCCTGATGAATCCATCTCACCAAAGCAGAAGGTTCCTCCCACCTTCAAGATACATCATTAGAAGGGCGTTTTCTTAGTCTTCAAAAACAATCAGGACTACTGTGGGACCACTGTAGGACCGGAGTAGGCTCACTACATTCACTACAAATACATGAAATACTTGTTCATTATAGCTAGAGTGTCCCTTTAATGTAGATGTTAATGGCTTAACAGGACCAAAAAATGCACGTCTTTTTTAAAGAATGAAGGAAATAATGTAGTTCTTTAAATGAACTCTATAGTAGCCAATAGCCAATTGAACACTTTGAATGTAAAATGTTTCATGTTTTGTTCTCTCTCCCTCTCTCTTGTTCTATTTATAGGGTATTCTGAGCATGTTTGAAGATATGGGCTTTATAAACACCTACAAGATTGACCTGCATACTCTGGCCAGGTATTTCTCCCAGTTTGCATTGCGGATTTCACCAAAAAAAGTTACACATGCCTACAACAAAGTATCAAAATATATCACTTTACAAAGAATTTCAGTGGTAATGAGAATTAAATGTGGATAAAGCTGCAGTGTAGCGCCACTCAGGCCGCTGGCCCAGGAGCTATATTGTCACTCAAGTGGCCAGCCCAGGTAGCCACATAGCTGCATTGTGGTATTGCTCAGGAAGCCTCATAGATGCACTGTAGTGTTGCTCAAGTGGGTGGCCCAGGAAGGCTTGTAGATGCAATGTACCTTCGCTCAAGTGGCCGTCCTGAGAACCTTGTAGCTGCCGTGTAGTTTCACTCAGGCGGCTCAGGGCCCAGGAAGCCCTGTAGCTGCAATGTAGGGTTGCTCAAGCAGCCAGCAGAGGGAGCAATGTAGCTGTGGTGTAGCAGTGCTCAGACGGCCAGCCTGGGAAGCCTCATAGCTAGTTTGTAGTGTCGTTCAAGCAGCACACCCGGGAAGCCTCGGAGCTGTGGTGTAGCAGTGCTCAGACGGCCAGCCTGGGAAGCCTCATAGCTAGTTTGTAGTGTCGCTCAGGCAGCACACCTGGGAAGCCTCGGAGCTGTGGTGTAGCAGTGCTGAAGCCTTGTGGCTGCTTTGTAGGGTGACTCAAGCAGCCGTCCCAGGAAGCCCTGTAGCTGTGGCATAGCATTGATCAAGCAGCTGGCCTGAGAATCCATGTAGTTGTGGTGCAGTGTTGCTCAAGTGGCCAGCCCAGGAAGCCCTTTAGCTGTAGTGTATTGTCGCCCAAGTGACAAGCCCAGGTAGCCACAAAGCTGCATTGTGTTATTGCTCAAGAAGCCCACCCAGGGAGCCGCACTGAAGTGTTGCTCAAGTGGCTGCCCCAGGAAGCCTAGTAGATGCGATGAAGCTTTGCTCAAGTGGCTGTCCTGAGAACTCTTGTAACTGCGGTGTAGTTTTACTCAGGCAGCTGGTCCAGGGAGCCTCATAGCTGGGATCTAGTATCACTCGTGTGGCCAGCCTAGGAAGCCTTGTAGCTGCGGAGCATCACTGCTCAGATGGCCAGCAAGGGAAGCCTCAAAGCTGTGATGTAGCAGCACTTAGGTGGCCGGCCTATGAAGCCTTGTGGCTGTATTGTGGTGTGACTCAAGCAGCCATCCTGTCTCTGAAGTAGCCTGCCCAGAAGGCCTCATAGCTGTGGTGTAGTGTTGCTCAGGTGGGCAGCCTAGGAAGCTTCATAGCTGTGGTGTATCATTGCCCAAACATACACACAAATAAAACAAAACAGTCAAAGACAGTTGAGGCATGTTGATGCATTTCGTATATATCGAGAAAATTTCTTAAGTATCATGATATTATATTTCTTAACATGTTTTTGAGATCAGTTTACTTTACTACCACCTGTCCCTCGTCTCTTCTCCGTCTCTTTTGAAATGTTTATCTGACTGTGTTCCTGTGGCAATCTCGACAGCGTGTTCCCTTTAAACATTAATGATGTCCTTCCTTGCCCTGATCTCTTCTTTATCACACTCTCTCTCTTCTACATTTCTCTAATCCCTCTCCCTCGCTGTCGGCCAGTTCAGCGGTCAGCCTGAGTGAAGGCGCTCTCCGGCCTTATTTATTAATGATATGTTGTTACCTGGCAACTGCTTGTAGGCTCCAGCACCTCATGGTCCGGCGTCAGAGGAAGCGGTGTTCTCATAGCCGCAAACACTTAGCCTGATAGAGCCGGAGTGGAGTTAGTCATTTGAATAATTGAGCAGGTTTCACTGCATCCCTCTGGAGAACTCCTGCAGGACATGAGGGGGGGGGAGATATGGCCCGGAAAGGGCCAGAGCTGTGTTCCGGAAATTAACCTGTGGTTGACTAAGGCTTAACTAATAATGCAAACCACATTCAGCTAATCACATCTAGGAGTTTCAAAGGTGCAGCAAATAGTAGAGCCACCAACAGCATTGCTCAAGTGCTCAGCACAGGAACTCATGTATCTGCAGTGTAGCATCACTTAAGTGCCCAGCCCAGGAAGCCTAATTGGTGTAGTGCTGCTCAAGGGGCCAGCCTGAGAAGCCTTGTAGCTGCGGTGTAGCAGCCAGCCCAGGAAGCCACATAACTATGGCTCAGTGGGAATCCCTGTGGTGTCAACAAATCCTGAATGCTGGTGTAGCCACTGAGCTATATGCTAATAAATATAACGAAGCTAATGTTAGTGTAGCTCTTACCTCAGTTGTTGAACTACATGTTTTCTTTATCAAAGATGCTATTCAGTTGAAGAATGCCAGAAAAAAGAAGCCCAACAGAGGTGAGGTATCTAGATAGTCAGGTGGCTAACATACCTTATCTGACGAGTCACTTCTGTTGCTTGAGTAATCCGTTCTCTCCGTTATAGTGCTAATTTAAAGACACCACAGTTGGATGGTTGCAGTAAGTTATTCTGGTTTAACAAGTTTCCTAGCAGTAACGCTAGCTACCTTTCTGCACTTGTCAGCTAGCGAAAACATTTCAAACTGCTTAAACCATCCACACCAAAGCAGCTGTAACTTTTCAAAAGTTTCTCCCACCTTACATTATCAGAAGAGGGGTTTCCTATTCTTTGAAATGGAAAATCTCTCTCTATAGCAGGGGTTGGCAACATAGCAGAATTAGTTTTTTAGGTCAAAAATAAAATAATCCTACTTGGCAGTAAAATAAAGCTCTGCTGATCGTTCAACACAGTTTAACAATAAATCGTCTTAAACGTTGGAATTACTGTAGAACTCCTAATTCACCCTTTAACCCTGAAGGTTGGTGCGCAGATTGCTGATCATAGCAGTGCCAATAATCTGACCTAGCTAGCATCTAACGAAAAGGTGAGAGAGATTTAAGATGAACATTGATAATTTGGAGACAAATGGACTTATTTGCGTTTATAACCACTCCAGATGGTTTTCTGCTACATTTAATCTGAAGCAAGAAACTGTCAAACATTAAAAGTCATGAGGATGAAGTCAGTTTCTCATTCGCCAGCTTCTTGTTTGAATTTTCCAGTTCCACCTTAAGTAGTGCAGCAGTTCTCACACCTCAGGCACCATTTAAGTTGGAACGGTAGAATTCGAATAAGAAGCTGGCGAGCGAGAAATGACTTCAGCCTCGTAAAAAGTCGAACATTGAGAGACATTTCACAAGAAACTATTCCTCTTTTGAGGAAAATTTTCCTGCTGGAGATGCAAGAAAAGCAGCTGTAGCTGAGCTAAAGCTTAACGCAGAGCAAAGTGCGTCTGTGTTTTTGTTTATATTATAGTTTTAGTCTATACTAGTACATCAGCACATACTGAGACAGATTTATGGCCAAAATGGTAAAATGGACATAAAACGTTGTGGCTCCCAAGGTGGTTTCATTTTTGTTGAAAGGATAAAATGGCTCTTCTTAACATTTAGGTTGCGACCCCTGGTCTAGAGCATTTGCTGCATGCTGTGGGTTATTTACAATGACTACAATGGTTACATTTTCATTTTGGCATCATATTGATGATACACTGACGTGTGTGTGTTTCCGTAGATTCTGTCTGATGGTGAAGAAGGGCTACAGGGACCCACCCTACCACAACTGGATGCACGCATTCTCCGTTTCACATTTCTGCTACCTGCTCTACAAGAACCTGGAGCTCTCCAACTACCTCGAGTAAAAACATTTTATACCGTTTGAAAAACCTTATTATTGTATTTCCTGCATCTGAGTACAGCTTCAATTTACCTTTTCCTCTGCAGGGACATAGAGATTTTAGCTCTCTTTGTATCCTGCATGTGCCATGATCTGGACCACCGAGGAACAAACAACTCTTTCCAGGTGGCTTCGGTAAGCATAGCCATCCACGGGATCTGCTCAACTAGTCTCACAGGGCCAGACATGGTCTTGTAACAAGAATGCACATATGGGGAGAACTTCTTAAACTTTTGGTGCAGGACTGCGGCTGAAAACTAGGGTAACCCACCTCTAAAGCCCACCCCAAATTCCTCTAGTCTCTCTTTTAACATTTGGAGTACCATCGGTAACACAAGCATCAGAAGCTCACCAGCAAAATGCTGTTGTTAGCTAACGGAACTGTTTTTCCGTGGAAAAGGTAATGATGGTTCTCTGCATGTAACATGTTCTCTGTAGACATAACACACATCTATATGCTCAATTAGAGTTTACTTGGGCTACTTTTCAGTCGTACTAACTTACGTTACATCCATGGGCTAACGATGGCCTCGTTGTCCATCTGGCGATGTTGAGGAGGGAACCATGAGGTGCTGAACATTACACTCAGTTTGTTCCCATTCTAAGTCTACATTTCCACCAACATTTAGCCCAACATTTCTGATGGCTGTCCCTGATGTTCTCGTTATGAGATCATGTCTGGTCTGCGGCTCTTCTAGAGCAGCGTTTGAGTTTTTCAGAGATGGTCCAGCCAAAAAGTAATTTACCACAATTTTCCCTTTACCCCAATTGCTGTAGCCAAGACATGTTCGGTGTCTGAAGTTTCTGATTCTTTAGTCCTGGACGAGGACATTGTAGCTAACAAGTAATGGAATCTGTTAGCACTGCAAACCTGTTAGCATTGTGCTAACTGCATGCATAAATTATCCACACTTGCCTCAAACTAGGTTCAGTTGTAGCAGGGTTTGTTTGTTTGACCTGTATCTTAACCTGGAGTCTGAGTATCTAAACCTGGATTAATCACAGTCTGAGTACCTAAACCTGGATAAATCAAAGTCTGAGTATCTAAACCTGGATTAATCAAAGTCTGAGTATCTAAACCTGGATTATTTACAGTCTGAGTATCTTAAACCTGGATTAATCTTAGTCTGAGTATCTTAACCTGGATTAATCACAGTCTGAGTATCTAAATCTGGATTAATCACAGTCTGAGTATCCAAATCCTGGATTAATCACAGTCTGAGTATCTAAACTTGGATTAATCACAGCTTAAGTATCTAAACCTGGATTAATCACAGCCTGAGTATCTAAACCTGGATTAATTACAGTCTGAGTATCTAAACTTGGATTAATCACAGCTTAAGTATCTAAACCTGGATTAATCACAGTCTGAGTACCTAAACCTGGATTAATCACAGTCTAAGTATCTAAACCTGGATTAATCTCAGTCTGAGTGTATAAACATGGACAGATGTTCGTCACATGTAGTACTATTGTCTATTACAGCAGTAGCAGCCACTGTGCAGTCTGAATATTGTAATGATTTAGACAGTTTGCACAATGCAAATTGGGGGCTATAAGCTTCTATTACTTGTTAGCCTCAGAGCTCCTAAAGAAGCAAACTAAAGATGCAGATTACTTTTGAGGTAAGGAGGAAAACTGTAAGTAAGCTAGATGGCTGAACCATCACATTAATAGTGGTCTTAAGTATGTTCAAATGAATTAATCACCTTAAAGAAAGGCATAGAAAGTCAAAGTAAAGCTTTCATGGATGAAAAATGTCTTCTTGTTTTTCAGAAATCTGTTCTGGCAGCTCTTTACAGTTCAGAAGGATCTGTTATGGAGGTAAACACATATACTTATACACATACAAGCTCAGATTCACTGTGTACTGGACTCCGACTGGTGGGGTCAATTAGAATAAAATTGGCTTCCAAATGACAACACACCCCATTAAAATGTATAATGTATGTATTTCCTATGCACTTCTACCATGATAAGTGACCAAACTCTGAAGCTAGCATAGCCTATATGTCTATATGGAATATTAACACTAATACTCATTTCGACAGACATTTGCAGGTGGTATATTAGGAGATAATATCACCTAATATATAAACCCGTTCTGTAGTCATTCTCTAGGTTTGAAATCATATTCCATCTATACTGTAAACAAAACAGCTCTACAATAAGGGTGATTTCTGCTAGCACACTTATGGGATTTCTAATACTATGTGATTGCTGAGCAAATTTTTGGGCCATTGATGTAGTCCAGCTCCTGAAGTGCTAATCAATGGGACAGCTTGCATTTCCCTAAACATTTGGATTGGAAAATCTTCCATGGAATGTTTCAAGATTAACACTTTTAGTTTTTATCCAGAACTTAACAATCAATATTACTACAATACTTGCAGAATTTAAACACAACCGTCATGATCATTCTATTAAATTAAATAAAAACAGCTAAATTGAGGTACAAATGTTGCTATGTAGCTCAAGTGGATGATTGTATGCATGGATCATTACATCATTAGGAACGAATGAAGCTGCATGACTCTGCGATTAACACACACACACACACACACCTGGCTCCAATCTTAAGAAGCTCGAAAAGCTTAATTTGTTGCATCAGGTGTGCTGGATCAGGTTTAGGCTGCAGGAGAAGGAGTGGGCACCTCAAATAGTGAGAAAACGTGTGAAACGTGCAATTATGGAAATAGGCTACAGGTGCACGAACGATTTGACTGGGTTTAGTTTAATAAACGTTTGTTAGAATCGAGTTACTCTGCAAACAAAGTGACTATTTTTACTTGGTTCTTTGAAATATCAACGGTTTGTTCACTGAGGCCTACGCTGTAGTGGTGGATCATTCTCAGCACTGCAGTAACACTGACGTGGTGGTGGTGTGTTAGTGTGTGTTGTGCTGGTGCGAGTGGATCAGACAGCAGTGCTGCTGGAGTTTTTAAACACCCCTGTGTCACTGCTGGACTGAGAACCAAAGATGTCCAGCCAACAGCGTCCTGTAACCACTGACTAGAGGATGACCAGCACAAACTGTGCAGCAGCAGATGAGCTATCATCTCTGACTTTACATCTACAAGGTGGACTGACAAGGTAGGAGTGTCTAATAGAGTGGACAGTGAGTGGACACAGTGATTTAAAAACTCCAGCAGCACTGCTGTGTCTGATCCACTCAGACCAGCACAACACACACTAACACACCACCACCACGTCAGTGTTGCTGCAGTGCTGAGAATGACCCACCACCCAAATAGTACCTGCTCTGTGAGGGTCCATGGGGGTCCTGACTGTTGAAGAACAGGGTAAAAGGGGGCTAACAAAGTATCAGAGAAACAGATGGACTACAGTCTGTAACTGTAGAACTACAGAGTAATCCTATACGGTCAGGGGAGCTGATAAACTGGACAATGGCAGATTAAAGACTTTTTTTGACAACTGACATAAATCCATATGCAGCCTTAATCTAAACAATGTATCGGTTTGCTGATGTTCATGATGTCATTGATGATGTCCATTGCAACAACTCATTCACTGAACTCTGCTGTCCTCTAGTGGCCTTTCTTGCATACAACCTCAGCTCCAACAACATGCTGTTTGTGGATAACTGTATATTTGTGTGTGTTTCTTCAACAGCGGCATCACTTTGCTCAGGCCATCGCCATCCTTAACACACAGGGCTGCAACATCTTTGAGAAGTTCTCCAGAAAGGTATGATGCTCATGAACACAGGCTTTTGGATTTTATCACTGTAAAAAAGATGGTAAAATTACAGTAAATTACTGGCTATTACCTTTACAGTAATATTAACAGTAAATAATAGTAAAGTAACAGCTGTACACTGTGACTCCACACTCACCTGCACCACAAGATTGCTGTGATGTAGCTGCTGTACACTTACAGTAATAAGCTGTAATTAAAAGTCTTTTACACATTTTACACAGTAATTTACCGTAAATGTGTGTATATATATATATATAAAGTGTATATATTAATGGATCATGCTTTTACAATGCAGTGTGTTTTTCACTTTGGTTGACAGGACTATCAGAGGATGCTGGACCTGATGAGGGACATCATTCTGGCCACTGATCTGGCCCACCATCTCCGCATCTTCAAAGACCTGCAGAAGATGGCACAGGGTAAAACAGAGAGAGAGAGAGAGAGAGAGAGAGAGAGAGAGAGAGAGTTTGCACATTATAGATGTTTATCTCTCCTCTGTGTCTCTGTAGTTGGGTATAATCCCAGAAGCCGGACACACCACAGTCTACTCTTGTGCCTGCTGATGACCTCCTGTGACCTCTCAGATCAGACCAAGGGCTGGAAGACCACCAGAAAGATTGCTGTGAGTAACTTTGACCTTTATTAACTCTTCGCTACATAGGCTATGTAAAACATTGGCTATAATTCAGTCTCTTAAGTAAACTGGACAAGAAGATTTTTGCTGCGTTTGCTCTGTGTAGCACATTGCATTTGAATTGGGGTTGCATGATATAAACAAAATACCATATTTTGATTATATTGCAACATAATATTGCGATATGCCAACATTAAAACATTAATTGGATTAAAAAGTAATTGGGTAATTGGCTGTTCACTTGTTCCATGGTCAGCTGTGGTTCGGTCACTGACGTCTACTGTTGCCGTCGCTCAGCATGACCAAAATATCAGTAAAGAAGGTCAACATGCGCCTGAAGAATCTGAAAGAATCAGAGACAGCGCCAAAACATTCGGTTTGTCAAAACCAACTGTCATATTGTCAAGAAACAATGGACTATGGTGATGTTAGCAATAGCAACGACCTGGAACACTGCATAAGATTGAAGTAGTGGAAGGCTGAAGGACACTTTCCAACCCCTGTGGACTTCTGAGACAAAGTCTCACAGACAGATGTGATGAAGATGAACGTGTAACGGAGGACTGTGTGAAGAAATAAAGGAACTGCTCCTGATCCAAACTACCTCATCTATGAAACATGGCCTGTAACTGCCAGTGGAAATGGCACCCAAAACAAGCAATTACTGCAAATGGCTGCATTACAGAGCTGGCAGAACATCACCAGGGAAGATCTCCAGCATCTCTCAGTGTCTGTGAAGTTAAAGCAGCGATCAACTGCAGAGGATCTGCAGCCAAGTACTAAACATGACAGTGTACGCTCTTAAACTTTACGAGCCTGTATGTAGGAACCTCAGTCCCTAACGTAACTTCTAAATTTAGTTCATAGTAGAAGCTGAATAATTTACCCTGTTTACTGTATTATTTGAAATCATTTAGATGAGATACTGAATAACTCATAGTAGTTACTGGATAAATCACCGTGTTCATTTTAAATAACTGATATTAGATATTGAGATATATAGATATTGATTACTGAATAAATCACCATATTTACTAGACAATCCTGAACTATTTATTTTAATTTAAAACAATTCTTAGTAGTTACTGAATAATTCATTGTAGTTACTGAATACTATATAATACTTACTGAATAATTTGTGGTACTTGCTGAATAATTTATTGTAGTCACTGAATAATTTATGGTAATTACTGAATAATTTATAGTAGTTACTGAATAATTTATAGCAGTTACTGGATATTTATAGGAAAATTTATAGAAGTTACTTAAAACTTATAGTAGTTACTGAATAATTTATAGAAGTTACTGAATAATTTATAAGTTACTGAATAATTTCTAGTAGTTATTGAATAATTTATAGAATAATTTGTAGAAGTTACTTAAACATTTATAGCAGTTACTGAATAATTTGTAGTAGTTACTGAATAATTTATAGGATAATTTATAAAAGTTACTTGAAAATTTATAGCAG